GAGACCGAGCGGCAGGCAGGTGGGTGAGCGTGCGGGGCCGGCGGGGCCGGGGGTCTGCAGGTTGCCCCCCGCGGGCGCGAGCTGGCGCGCGGTTTTGAGATTTGCACTGTAGTTCGTGGCCCTCCGCCTGCCTCAGCTGTCATTTGCCCAGGACTTAAATTCCCAGCATGTACGGCGAGGCAGTGCAGTTTCTTCTTGCATTAGACCCAGCGCTCCGAAATGAGCGCTCCCTTGCTCGTGGGACTCATCTTTTACCCGTGTAAAGAAACCTTTGCTCCTAAAACCTTGCCCTTACTTTGATGCCCCATGCCCCAGCCCCCGGAGAGATCCAAAGCTAATTCGCCGGTGGCAAACCATGGGGCTTGCGTGGAGTAGTAATCCGGACTTGAGCTACTTAGGAACGGTGGACTTGAGCGGATATATAAATTTCTGTGAAATCAAATGGAATAATCAAGCTTTGACTGAGGCTGGCTTACTGCTCTTGTATGTCATGTTTACTTCTGGGGTAACGAGAATATTTTGAATTAGTTGCACATTTTAGCTTATTATTGAATCTTCTAATTAGACTTTTTATTCAGCTACAGATATATATGGCAAAGATGAGGTGATGCAGAATGTGATCATGCTCAAGAGTTGAGTATGACAGATTGGTAATCATTGGATTTTAGACTAACTGTGCTTTGTATATTTTGTCACCTGGATGTGATCACCTATATTCTTATGAGTCTCTAATTGAAATGTATTCTTTACTCTGTTCAATTCTATCTATGGCATCAATTTTTAAACATTAAAGTGGTAAAAGCAAATTTTAAATGGTTACTGAATAGTAGTATTGCTTTACGTTGGTGACATGTACCCTGATGGAATCAATACCAGTAGTTCCTGCAAGATTATGCGTTTTTTAAAAAATATTAAGTTATTCATTAACTTTGCACTTCTCCTTCATTGCCTGACTTCCTTCTCAGGTCTATGTGGAGAAATTAATTTTCTTTTTTTTTTTTAAACTTGCAGGCAGAGAGTATGTTATCCCATCCTTGGCCCACAGATTTATGGCAGAGATGGTGGATTTCTTTATTCTCTTCTTTATAAAAGCAACCATTGTTTTAAGCATTATGCATCTGAGTGGAATAAAGTAAGTTGAGAACACTTGCAGAAAGGTTTTATAGGCCTTGTTTTGTTACGTTCTATTCATGCTTGCAGATGACTGTATGGATAATAGGTGTGCCAATGTCACGATTGCTTTATAAGAGCTTTGTCAGATTTATTTTTTCCATAACTACAAGGAAGAAAACTCTCTTAATTCTTTAAGATCTGTGAAAAAGAGCCTGCAAACCTGGTTTGTTTCTATTCAACTGTTCTCTGAAGCCGGGAACTAATTTCCCCCTTACTCTCCTGTGCAACATCTAAAAACAAAGGCATACAGATCATTTGGTAGATCAGCTGTTAATAATCAACTGGTGAGCCAGGGAGCGTGGTGGCACACACCTATAATCTCAGCCCTCTGGGAGCCTGAGGCAGGAGGATAGCAAAAGTTCAAGCCCATCCTGAGCACCGTAGTGATTTACTGAGACCCTGTCCCAAAAAATTTTTTTAATTTTTTCTTTTCTTTTTTAAAGGGCTCTTTTTTCTTTTTTAAAGAGCTATAGCTCACTGCAAAGGTTTGGCTTCAGTCCCCAGTATGGAAAAAAAATTCAACTAGTGTCATTTCCAAATGAGGTTGCTTATGTTACCAGGCAAGTCCCAAGTTAAGTAAGTTTGTCCAGTGAGACATTTACTTGAATAATCCTCAATAATCATAACCATAACTGAGCTGTAACTTGCAAAACATTTTCTATGTGCAAAGTACACCATTTACCTCTTTGTACTGATTCTTAATCTTAGTAGCACTATGAAGGAGTTACTATTTCCATCTTATTGAGATTGGAATTTGAGTTTATGATAAATTAGGCCCAGAACTTAAAAAGTTACATTAGTACTTAGTGACAAGATGCAAACCTGTAGTCAAATTTGAGGGCCCTGCCTCTCCCTCGTACTCCTGCCACATCCTACCAAGTCCCAGCTCCTGTTATGTTCAATGTCCTGCACACCGTTCAACCCAGACCATTTCTTCCTCCCTGGCAGACTTTTCCCTCCACATTGCTTCTCCCTAGCCCACTTGACAGACTTTGCTTTATATCCAGTCTCCTAAGTGGTACCTCAGTCTCCTGTCTCCTGTTTTATCTTTGATCCAAGGCTCTCTCCGGCTGTTCTATTTGGAACTTCCTTTTATCTTCTTAGTCTGGCTAACTTTTCTCCACCCTTCTGTTCTTAGCTTAAATGTCATTTCTGGGAACCTTCACAAGGCTAAGGGTAACTGGTATGTGTTTCCACGGTACTCTGGTTCTTTATAGTTGAAGTTCCCATCCCACTTTATTACTTATTGTTCTGTTTCCTTGCTGGAGTCTGGTAAAAACAGGTACATTTTGAATTCACTCACTGTTGTCCACAGGGACTAGTACATGTCTGCTCACGATACTACTACTAATTTGGGTTTTGGTTTTGGTTTTGTATTAGTGGGCAGTCAGACTCGGGCTTTTGCAGTCCAGACAAGAATCATACTCTACTGAGCTATATCCTCAGCCCAAAGGATAGCACATATAAATGAACATGCATTTTGTTTTGTTTTTGCTTAGTTGGTTGTTCAGTCAGCTAATGAATGTTTTATGCAGCTAAATAGTTGGGAACCTAAAGATTTGCTTAACTTTTAATTCAAATTTCAATTAAATTTCAGTTAAAATTTTCAATTAAAAGAGTGCAACTGTTTGAGTAACTAATTCTTTACAACCCCAAACTGTTTTGTGTAGGGACATCTCTAAATTTGCTATGCATTATATAATAGAAGAAATCGATGAAGACACATCAATGGAAGACTTGCAGAAAATGATGGTTGTGGCACTTATATACAGATTATTAGTTTGTTTCTATGAGGTAAGCCACTGACTGCAGCAAATGTTAATTTGTAACCTAATCATAATTTATGTATTTTTCAACAGTCTATTTTCCCAATTTTCTTTAATTTGATATTGTTGGTTTTTTTTAAATCATCTTGTCATCCATCCATCCATCCACCCACCCACCCATCCATCTACCCACCCACCCGTCCATCCATCCACCCATCCATCCATCCACTGGTACCAGGAATCAAACTCAGGACCTTGCGCTTGCCAGGAAGGCGCCTGTGCTGCTGAGCTATATCCCCGGCACCTGACATTCTCTTTTTCAAGTTTAAAAAAGAAACTAACTTTGGAAGGAAGACATTCTATACATTTCTTTGTACTGTTTTTCAGTCTTGGGAAAAAAAATCTATTCAGATTATGGTTCATACTCTACTCAGACTATGTAGGTTTGTTGTGGAACTTGAAATGTATTTATTCTGAGAAACAACTTCTAAAAAATACAACAGACCATGGAAAAATGTTGCACTTAGGCCTTCTTTCAATTTAAAAATTTTAAAACATAAAAATAATATGGCAGGAAAATTTACCTTTAAAACTGGTATAGTTAAGCTGGTAAATAATTTTTAAGTTCTTCTTTTCTTAGATAATTTGCATTTGGGGAACAGACGGTGCGACCCCAGGGAAGTTCTTGCTGGGGCTTCGAGTTGTGACCTGTGATACGTCAGTGCTTATTGCACCAAGTCGGGTTTTAGTGATTCCTTCCTCAAACGTTAGCATTACAACGTAAGTCCTTTTCTCCTTTTCTTGGCTTAATCTGTTATATACCTATGAGAATACTATATTTGAGTGTAATTTCACATTGCATACTTCGGTAGCATATAGCCATGGTACCATAAGATTGTATTGCCTAGTGACTTGGGAAGCATCTTAGTTTCTGTAGTACCTTTATTTTTTGTACAGTGACAAAATCACCTAATGATGGGATTTCTGAGTTGTGTCCATACCACTGTTAGTGGCAGTGGCAGGACTGCATTCAGTGCCTTGTCATGATATAGTGCTTACAGAATACTGATGTTTTTCTTTTTATGGTGCTGTTATTAGCTAGGCTTACATTTGCTAAGTAATAAAGTATGAGCCTTTGGCCGCTATGATTACGTAGCCCTCTTCAATATATATAATTCACACGAGTGAGAGGATGATTTGGGTGTTAATGCTGTATCAGTGCTCCATGTGCAGCTTTATTATTCCCTAGAGCTGTGGATATGGCTCAGCTGCAACTCTGCCTTGAGCCACCATTTGATAATATCCATCATTATCCTATCTTGCTCTGGTGATGAGTCTGACAGCTGAGCACAAAGATGCATCCTGCTCCTGCTCCTAACATGTAGAGCCTGTGATAACCTCCAGTCTCCACTGCTAGCTGTTGCCATCCAGATCAGGAGTAGCGCTTATCTACGAGTAATGCAAGTACAGCTGAGTGGGGCCAAAACACAATGTGGCTGTAATTGTTGCCAGAATGATTCAGAGGTGGACTGTTTTATAAGGGAATAGGAACAAGTGACTAGAGAAAGTGGCTTGATTTTTACCAACATACTCAAAATTTCCTGAAGTTTTTGTGGTTATAACCCTGGCCAATTATTTTTAAATAAGTCAGTAATGCCTAATGTTTATTGAACACACCTGATATACTGGGCACTGTTAGTAACACTGCATATGTATTAACTAATTTAATCCTAACAGTCTTATAAGATACTATTACTCCCTTTCTGCAGCTGTGGAACATAACCAGTATTAAAAGGTGGGTTTGCAAACAGTCTGGATTCAGAGCGCACGCTCTTAGGCACTGTACTTTTTTGGTAGCCTATTAATGCAGCAAGACAGAACCTAAGATAGATTCTAGGATAATTCTCCTTTTTAGCTACTGAAAGCTTTTTCTAAAAAAGGAAAGGCTTAATCACTAGGTCCCAAAAAGGAAACAGCTGATCAGAGAATGGACAATAATTTAAAATGCTAGTTCTTCACTTAAGGTAGAAAATAAGACCGCAGTAAGTATGCTCAGTTTAGAAGATACTGGGAATGGAAAAGGTAAGCAAGTGTATGGCAGAATACTAGAAAATACTGTAAGTCCTCAATTCCTGTTCTGAGATGTTTATTAGTGCTTTCCATGTTAAAGTTTTAAAGTGTTTTATGTTAATGAAGTCTTTAGAAATAGCCCAAGTGGTCTAATCATGGTGTTGAGTCACATAACAACTTATGTAACGTTAGAATTTTCAACTATACTTACTTTGAATATTTTAAATATTTGCATTTGATAGGATACAATTACTGTGTGGCTGATGTACAACTTACTTCTGCTTTGATTTTTTTAGGTCCACCATACGAGCTCTGATCAAGAATTTTTCTATTGCGTCCTTTTTCCCTGCTTTCATCACATTGCTGTTTTTTCAGCATAATCGAACAGCCTATGACATTGTAGCAGGAACCATTGTGGTAAAAAGAAATGGGGTCAGATGATGCCCCCACAATATTGAATTCCATACTCTGGAATAATGACAAAACTAAATTATGTTCCAAGGCCATCAGTATCCCTGGGTTATATTAATCGATTTAGAAATTAAAGCAATCACTCCAGTGTGATGCAGGTGACCGTTCTGAAAGTATTGATTTTACCTGAATGCCAAAGAACTTTTCCAGAAGAAAAACCTGTTAAATTCAAGTGTTAAAAAAATTTTAGGTCAAAAAGAAAGCAACTGGTTTTCTAATAAAGACAATATATACTTTCTTTAGACCAAGACATTAGGTTTTTTTGAAAGCATTTTCTGCTTTGAAATCTCTAAATGAAACTTTAAAGATTTTGATTTATGCCAAAATGATGGAAAATGTCAAGTTCTGTTTTGTAAGCACATAATTCACCTTTTAGTTAACTCTTCTGGGGGAATTGTTTTTTTTTTTGCAGGAGGGAGCAAGAAGACAGACTGGGTAATCCCCATGTCTCCCATCCTAGGAGGTGCTGAGTTAGCCACAAGAGAAAGGGGCAAGGCAGACAGGCCTAGCAGTCCCCTTCCCTGAACTGTCCAAAGTGCACTGCAAGTCCCTGCAAAGAGGGTGTAACTTTACCACTAGTCGTAATACTTAAGCATGTATTTTGGCCAAGTTTTCCAAGATGATGAAAAAGTATTGTCATGTTGCTGTACTATCACTGAAATTTTGTAAAAGTTAGCGATTGTTTATAATGGAATTTAATGCCCTAAAATCAAACTATATGTGGAGAAAAAGCTTCCATCAATCCATTGTGTAATTACTATAAAACAATATTCTCTGTATATGCAGCATGAAGTGTTAGTGCTTTTCAGTGTTTTGAAATATGAGTATGAATTGTATTTCTATACAGTATACTCACATAGTTGTTACTTTCCTTTTATATTTTATATAGTTCCATGATTTTTGAACCATCAGGAGTTAACTAAATAGTATTTCATGAATAACTCTAATATTAGTAGCCTGTAAGGTATTAGCAGTTTTCCCATTATGAACTGTTCTCTCCAAAGAAGTAGACAATATCATTTGCACACACTATTCTAGCTTCTTTAAGATCATTTGGGGCCTGTAAGAGATGAAGTCTTGGGGAAAAGATTAAGCAAAATACTTTGTATATTGCCACTTTATTCTACTGAAGCAGTATAGGGCAGAGGGTGCTTTTGTTGTATGACCCAGTAAGCTCTAAGATACACCTGTACTATATATAAAGTTTTATTTCTTTGTTATTTTGTCCAACTGTGCTATTTTCCTGAAAGCACTAAAGTATTCTTTAGTTATTAGACTGCTTAAGAAATCTAGATTTTTCTCTTGGTTTTAAATTAATTGGAAAGGTAAGACATCTGTTACTTAAAACTGTGAAAATACATTTAATGTTTTATAGACACTAACAATGTTCTTACAATAATTTTATTATAAAATATTTTTCAGAATAACTTTACATTAAATCCAACTTTACAGAAAGCTTCTCAGTCAAGTATGTAAGAGTACTAAATAGACATTCCCTTGAGGCCTCTGGGAAAATACAGTTTTACAGCTCTTCCCAGTAAAAAGAAAGAAAAATCTTTCAATTCTATCAAAAATTGGGAAATATAAATTTAGCACTCAATCTAGACACTAGCATTATATACTACTTTTGCCACTGACTGGGGAATTCAAGTTGAAATGCCATTCAGTCCCTATTGCTCTGGAGTACATCTTTGAAAGTGCTGCTCAAATAAAATAATTACATTAATTGCCCATTCTGGGTGACAAAAAAAAAATTGGTCCTGGTTTTTATACAGCAAGTACTGTCATTTGCTATACATGAGTTATTGAGATTAATACCTAGATCCAGCTGTGGGGACTTAGTTGTACCTATGTAGCCCTATAAAAGATATATAGAAGTACTACATTGCCTTCACAGCAGAAACCTAAGTCAGTTTCTATTTATGGTTCCTAGAGGTGTTTTTTTTTCAAAGGAGAAAACAATGAGGGAAGAGGAAATTTGGCCTTGCTGCCCCTTTTCTCTTGGGGAGACTCTCCTTTTGAGGATATGGGTCTACTTAGTGTACTGTACTTTTAGAAACAGATTTTCTGTATGGAGTGTAATTCTCATGTTGAAGCTCTTGCCCTGAAAGACAAAAGTTGTATTCATAATAAAATAATCAGCCTAACAAGGTAAGTATTAGGATTAGAGCTGAGAACACAATTTCAGTAAGCATGTCCTAAGCTACAATATTATGACTGATTTAATGATGAAAAAGTATATCATCTTGTTGCTATATTATCATTCAGTTGAAGAACAACTATCAGTGAATTTGGGCAACCAGGAAATCTACCCATCTCTGAATGTATACTGAGGTGGCCCACGCACCTTCAGAAGTCTGGCATATCCGCTAATCATGTTGATGCCAGAGGCTGGGCCCCAGGTAAGTGTGAGCGATGGCGAGCCTTGCTTTTGGGCTGCTATGAGACCACAGAAATAAAGTCAAAATATTTGGACAGTAAGCCATCACTTGCCAATGCAGTAATAATAGCCCAACTACTTCTCTAAAACTGGTTCAGCAGTTTTTTACTTAGGTATTTAGGATTCTTTAAAAAGGCATTGTACTTGAGGGTCACTTAGTATAAATTATAAAAACAAATCTTCAGTGTTTTTAATGTCTTAAATTATGGTAAAATTTAACTAGAAATTTAAAGGGATTTGAGTGTTTTACTTATGCTGAGTATTTACAGCAAAGTGAGAAAGTTGAAATTTTTTACATTATTAACTACACAGGAATAAAGAGCTTCTGAAGGAGAGAGGGAGTATTGCATGTTTTGACTTGGTATTTGTCCCTGCTGTTTTAAAGCATATACACAAGCAACAGTATTCCCAAAATCTGCTAAGTAATATTTCAGTTTCCTACACCAAAACCCAAAGTCTTTACAACACATCCTCATTTCAAACAGTATATGCATGTTTCCTTGCAGCTCCTTGTAGGAGCTCTGGACCTGCAAAAACAGTATCTGATGGTCCGCTTATAAATAAAATTCACCATTTTGTTTTTAATGATTTGTATGCCACCAATTTGTATTTTATTTGTCTCAATAAATACTTAAGTACAAATGCATGCAGTTTGTCTTTTTTTTTTGAGTTTTGGTAGGGAAACCTTGCTTCCAGATACAGCTTTTCTAGTGGCACTAAATAGTGAACTAGAGATTGCTTTGAGAAATAAAAGCCTACAAAAACATCCACTTTTAGGGATATACCCTTTCACTAAGTGAGTTACCATTAATCGGGATATTAAGTTCAGTATAAAACTAATCCAGTCCTTAAGAGTTGTTAGCCATCATAACCACTACATAAGCTATTAGATGGACAATTTAAACTCAGGTCTGACCTTAAAAACCTTCCCCATTCTAACCCTTACAGACAGCTCCACAAGGGAAGGTCAAAAAGGGTATACAGTTCATTGTAGAAAAAGTATGGCAAGGTCTTGCATCCTCTAGACAATGTGCTATTAAGAAACTAGCCACATACTGCATTTTTGGAAGTACACAGGGCTTGTGAGAAGTCTGATAGCTGGCCCATAAATGAAGACTGACTTGGTCATATGCTAGAGCAGTGCTGCTGAACCTTTTAGAGACAAGTGCCCAACCCTACTTATTTATGGGTGGCAGTGCCAACACTGCAATTAAATCTAAATACTGTTTAGAAAAGAATAACATCTTTTGTCTTAAAAACAACACACGTCATAGGTTTGCTACCACTGTGCTAGACTGTAGCTTGACCCAACTCTTAACTTCTGTTAATGTTAACTACATCAAATCTATCTTTCCTCCACTAAATACAAAGGCTAGCCTTTATAAAATTTCCACTGAATTTCAAACTTTAGACACCCAGAAAAGGGTACGCTAACAGAATGAAAGAGAAGAGGAACACAAGTTCTCCCCAGGCTAAATCAAGACGTTCAAAGGCTGGTTATGAACTGTTAAAAATTAACCTAACACTTTTATCTCAACTAATAAATGCTATGTTACATAAGCAATTTCAGGAGAGAATTTTAAATATTAATACACAAGTTCAAAGACAAGTAACTACTCAAAAACAACCTAGAAGTCCTCTAGGTGCTTTCTTTTTTTTTTTTTTTTTTTTGGTTTTTCTCCGGTACCTCTACATTTAATGCCCAGCTGGTACAC